AGATTGTTCATTTTGTGAGGACTTCTAACATTTTCTGAATTTAGGAAACAAGTAGGCATACTGTGTTACAAGTTATCTTTCTGTAAGCACACATTAGTTACTTGGGATAATGACAAGCTGTATCAAAAAAAGAGAAATGTAGGTAAGAATGGAAGACACTAGAGTGAGGCATTTGGATTTTTAAGATTCAGTAATGAGAATCCTGCAAAAGCTGGTTGATGTTTTTTCCTTGGGGCTTAAATCATTTCCCCCACCCTAGCATCATAACACTGTAGTGATGCGTGAGGTTGTTTTTTCTTTTTCTTTTTTTTTTTTTTAATGTAACTTGCATATTTGACTGACAGCTGTGCTCTGCACTAGACTGAAGGCATGGAAGGGCTCTGCCTAAGTGTTACCTTTGTGGCATCCTTAGCTCCTAGTAGATACCTAGTGGGCTTTCAGTGAATATTTGTTGGATGTCTGTTTTGGAGCTGTTGGATCTTTGGAGAGATACAAAGTTGCTTAGTTGTTCTTATGTTTTCCAGGGTCCCAAAAAGGTAGGGATGCTTTGGCGAGAGGCTGGACTCAGCTGGAAAGAATTTCTACCCGAAGGCCAGGACATTGGTGCATTTGTCGCTGAACAGGTTTGGGGCTGTTAAAACATTAATTTTAGCATTTGAATCTAGCTAGTAATCTTCTTCCCTCATCTGATCTCTTGACTGGGCATATTTGGTTGCAGAAGGTGGAGTATACCCTAGGAGAGGAGTCAGAAAGCCCTGGCCAGAGGGCACTCCCCTTCGAGGAGCTGAGCAGGCAGCTGGAGAAGCTGCTAAAGGAGGGTAGCAGTAACCAGCGGGTGTTCGACTGGATAGACGTATGTTTCTCCGGGATATTGGGGGAGGGATAGAAGAAAGGCATTTCTTGTGGTGGGGTGGAGGATGGCAAGCATGGAGACTGAGGGGCAACAAGTCAGAACTTATGGGCCATTTGTTTTTCCTGCACAGGCCAACCTGAGTGAGCAACAGATAGCATCCAACACATTAGTTCGAGCCCTTATGAAAACTGTCTGCTATTCTGCAATTATCTGTAAGAGAAGCCAGGGAAAAGGGTGGGCCTCATGGACAAAAGGGAGGGAAAAGGATTTCAGTCTGGCCTCCTGGGGCTGAACCACTCTAAGGCTGCATTGTTCCACTTATCCCTTCTTCTTCCCTATAGTTGAGACTCCTCTCCGAGTGGATGTTGCAGTGCTGAAAGCACGAGCAAGACTGCTACAGAAATACCTATGTGATGAGCAGAAGGAGCTGCAAGCGCTCTATGCCCTCCAAGCCCTTGTAGTGACCTTAGAGCAGCCCGCCAGTAAGAGCCAGACTTCAGGGACAGAGGTGGGGTGGAGGGATTGCCACATAGCAGGGGGTGGTTGTGGAAGGGACTCAAACCAAGAAAGGTGGGTAATTAAGTGGAGAGCAAACTGCCCTGATGGTTTGATTACTTTTCCCTGCATAGTTTTTCCTTGCCTACAAATTTGGTTTAGTCTCAGTCTTGAAGGTTAATTGATTACTTGCTTTATGCCTAGCTATCTGTTAGATGCCAATAGTGCAGAGATGATAAATGATAGCATCTTTTGTCCCACTCTGCCTGGCACAAGTCTGAAATGCTTTGCTTAACCTTGCCTCTTTTTCATCATGACAACTGTTGTTTAGGGTAGATGGTATTATCCCCATTTTCCACATACGGAGACTGAGGCTTAGGTTAACATATCTGAGATTGTGCATTCTGCGAATAGATATGTGTCAGGGCATTGGGGTAATCATAGGAAGTTTAGTATAGTTCCTGTGGTGGCGTGGAGTCAGTAACAAGTAAAAGTTATTGAAAAGAGGGGTCTGAGGAATGGTAAGTGGGAATTAGCTAAGAGACAGATGCAGGGAGGACCCTCGTAACCAAAGGCACTGTGTATATAGATTCTCAAGTAGAAGGAATGTGACATGAGACAGAGGAGCTGCTGAAGGGAAGGCCAGTGCAGGAGAGCACAGTGACCAATTGGTATGAGGCAGGAGGGGCTAGAGAGATAGACAGGGACTGGGTCCTGCAGGGCTGTGTGAATGGCAAGGTCTTTGGGATTTTACCTAAGGGCCAGGTAAGGCCCAAAGGGCCTGAAGCAAGGGAGAAAAGAATTTTTATTTTTTACATCATCGGCTATACTGGGAAATAATGGTTTGGAATGGGATGAGAGTGTAGGAGATTGACATTCATTGTTCCATCTTCCTGGTGATAGTGGATAGTGGGGAAAAGGGTGAGCAGATTCAAGAGATACTTAGGAAATGGACTTGACAGCTTTTAGTCATAGGCCTGGGGTGGGCGACATAACTGATTGGAAGTCACAAGTGGCTCTCACAGTAGTTTGAGTAGGGGAGGTGATAATGTGATGCCATCTGCCACTGGGGTGAGAAACATTGGGTCAATTTGAGTTCATGGTGTTCTGGGGTCAGGGCTCAGAGATGGTAGGTAGGTAGACAGGAATTTGGATCCATCTGGGGAGAATGTAGCCAGGTTAGGAAGCACATCTGTGAGGTGCCTAGCATAGGGTAATAAGTACCTGTGTAAGTCACAAGAAGATGTAGGATTGCCCAATGGGGTTGGGGTGAAACACTGGGGATGACAACAGGCCGGGACTAAAGGAGGACAATGACCTGTGGACAAAGATAATTTTGGATAGGGAAGTAGAAGACAATGCTACCATGTTTCAGAGAGTTCAGTAAGAGCAGACTTGAAAGGATTTCTGAAATGTAAAAACATGTTGTCACCCTGGCAAAAACAGTATTTGGTGGCGCAGGAATTAGGCTCTGGGTTGGAAAGGACTGAAATAATGACTGAGATGGGAAAGGGAGACCGCAAGTATAGATAGAATCTTACATTGAGCTATGAATTAGTGGTTCTAAGGGGGGGCCCTTTGTGTACCTGGGAGAAATTTGGGCTTTTGAATATAGAGGGCAGAGTGAATAGTTTTGATTAAATGGGGTCCTCTGGGAGGGAGTGTGCATGGGATTTGAAGCACAGTGGTGGGAGGAGTTTGTGTCCACAAGAAGTTTGTGGATTTCTTAGGATTTTCTCAAGTCGAGACTTGAGATCCTATACTTACTCTGTCGTCCTCTTTTTTTAGGAGTGTCCTTTGGTTTGGAAAGATAGGCAATGTCATGTGGAAAGTGCTTAAGGAAGCCCTGAAGTGGCCAGTGCTGGAGAAGGGGTTAAAGCATTGGGGGGTACTTGAATCTTGTAGAGAGTTACTAGGAAAGTGACAAAGAGAAAGGGTCTTCTGGCAAAGGAGATAGCACCCCTCAAAAGTGTAAAGGTTGGAGAGGGTTCAGGAGATGTATGGGAAAGAAGAGGAAATGGGGATCGAAGGTCAAGATTTTTGGTGGGGACTGGTGGATGTTCCAGGTTATACCCTTAACATTTGTGGTAAACTTGTGAGTCCCTAAATCCAGGAGTACCAATTCTGCATGTAGTTTTCCACATTAAATATATCACAAGTAGAGACGTTTGAAGCTGCCGAGGTGAGGCTGGGCAAGTTTGTAAAGCTTTTTTCGATGGCTGACTCACTTGTGTCTCTTAGATCATGAGATTAGCATCCTGTCAGGCCTAGTCACTCTGGAAGGCTCAAGACACAAATGTCAGGGTGGTGGGTCAGGGCCTTGTTTAACATAGAAATCCCTAGGGACAGAGAGGAATCCCTAGGGACAGGGTAGCATGGCTGTGGCCAGTCACTTCTAACTGCTGTCCTTATGACTTGCAGACCTGCTTCGGATGTTCTTTGATGCCCTATATGATGAGGATGTGGTGAAAGAGGACGCCTTCTACAGCTGGGAGAGCAGCAAGGATCCCGCTGAGCAGCAGGGCAAGGGAGTGGCCCTTAAATCTGTCACAGCTTTCTTCAATTGGCTTCGTGAGGCCGAGGAGGAGGAGTCCGACCACAACTGAGGGCGGGTGGGGCTGGGGACTTGGAGCCCCATGGACACGCGGATGGCCCGGCCAGCCGCCTGGACTGCAGGGGGGCGGCAGCAGCGGCGGCGGCGGTGGCAGTGGGTGCCTGTAGTGCGATGTGTCTGAGCTAATAAAGTGGCTGAAGAGGCAGGATGGCTTGGGGCTGCCTGGGGCCCCCCTCCAGGATGCTGCCAGGTGTCCCTTTCCCCCTGGGGCACAGAGATATATTATATATAAAGTCTTGAAATTTGGTGTGTCTTGGGGGGAGGGCACCACCGCCTGCCCCTGGGGTCCTTTTTTATTTTCTGAAAATCACTCTTGGGACTGCCGTCCTCGCTGCTGGGGGCATATGCCCCAGCCCCTGCACCACCCCTGCTGCTGCCTGGGCAGGGGGAAGGGGGGGCACGGTGCCTGTAATTATTAAACATGAATTCAATTAAGTTCACTGCCTCTGCTTTGTGGCCTGCTCCCTTTGGAAAAGGGATATGGATAGATGGGCATCTTTCTTTCCAGAGCTGGCACTGTAGCATTGTTCCTGTAACCTGGCACCTCTCCTGACCCATGGTTTTGGACATCTGAGAAGCCACTGCCTTCCGGAGGGTTTAGGATCTTGGTGTGGATGTGAGGAGTTCACTCTTGGTTATGAGAGGAGAGGGAAGTCTGGTACCTGTGGAGTACTTAATAGAAGATACTTGCCAGACTATTGCCCTTACCTGAATGTGATCCATTCCCCTGTATGCCAAGAAGTCTCTAGGTTTCGTCAGATAGCAGAGAAGGCCTTCTGACTTAAGGATGTCCTCTTTTACTGAGGGGACTGGGTTCAGCAAGATTTTCTGCCCTCGAGTAGTGTGGCAGCACTGCCCAGAGAGCACCTCCCCTTCCTTCAAGGTGGCTTGGCAGAGGCTGGCGAAGACTGGACCAGCGGTTTCCGAACTCGGCCCTAAACTCCCTCAGCGCGGCTGTGACGTCAGCCTTGTCCCGCCCGCTCTAGGTGGAGACGCGGGCGGCCACGCCCCTATGTTTACGTCACCGGCCCGGTTCCCTCTCCCGGGAGCGGCGACGGACGCGCGGCTCCCACCCCCTCCCCTCACGGGCTGTCCCCTCCCTGGTGGTGGCCGCGGCCGTACCCTCTGCGAGGCGATGGCCCGGGTCCCGAGCACGGGCTAGCGTGCTTGGGTGCCCGGCCATGGGCTGTATCGGCTCCCGGAGCCCGGCGGGTCAGGGTAAGAAGCGGAGGCCGGGCACCGTTGGGGAGTCGGGCTGCGGCCGCCCGATGCGCGGGCCGCGGGTGGGTGTGGGCCTTGAGGAGGGGGCTGGCGGCAGAAGGAGGAGCCTGCACCGGGGAGGCGGGCCAGGCCAGAGGAGGAAAATGGAATGAGCGAGGAGGGGGCTAGCCAGAGTCCGGTTCGCTCCGGTGGCCTGCCTGCTTCTTGGCTTTGCTGGGCAGACCATGGTCTCGCCGCCGTCCTGTATTCCCCCCACTCCTGAGGGTGGCCAGAGGCACACAGCTTTGGGATGGACTGGGGCAGCTGAGGTCCCCGCCTCTACCGCCCCTGGCGACTGGCCTTGCGTGCCCACACACTCCCCTATGCCTACACCTCTCCTCTCACTGTCTTGGGAGTGGCCCTGCCTTTCCCAGCTAGGTCGTTATTCTCTTAAGGAGGCAGCCTGCAAACGCGGGCCAACCACCTCATCACAGAGTTTTGGCCTAACACTTGCTCACCCTTCAGAGTCAGCTGATTGATCAAGGGGTCTAAGGCCCCATGTAGGGCACCTGTGAGCACCTGATCACCTCTCACCTCTTACAACTTTTAATTTCATTTCTGCACCACCACTAAAAACAAAAACAAGTCACTCTTACACTGTGGAGGAAGGGGAGCTCAGAGGGAGGCCATCAAGGCTTCCTTCTCACAACTGTTGACCCCTGCTTGGGCCTTAGTTTCCATGGATGGCTATGCATTCAGGGGCCTGGCCTTAGTCCTATGCATCTAAGGTCTGCCAGGTTACTTTACTTCAGTGTCATGGAATTCACCAAAGCTAAGGCCAGGCAGGGACTTGTGATGTTGAGGGCTGAATTTGGAATGGGTTCTGGGCTTTTAGGGCAGGTGGTCAGTCACACAGGCCTTAGTATGGTTGGTACTTGAGATTCTTCAGAGCTAAACTCTGGCTGAGATTTGTACTTTCCTGGAGGGATTCTGGGATTTGTAGTCCTAAATAAACCTCATGGCTTTTGAAGCTGAGAAGCAGCAGGCTGCTCTGATCCCTCTGGCCTGCTTGGAGTTCAGGAAATCATCCCCTCCTGTAGTCAGGGGAGAGTTTGGCTGACCTCAGGACTGGCCTTGAGAACCCTGATTGGGTACCAGCTGGGGGCCAGGGATGGCCTGTAACCTGTCTTCCTTCTGGTTGGTAGCATTTCTGGGGACCACCAGCTGGCTGAGGCTCAGGGACAGAGACGGCTGCTCCAGCTAAAGGTCAGTTGTGATGTACATGGCCTGTTGGCACTGTCTAGGGGATGGGCCTTAGTTCCCCAAGCCCCAGAGAGCTTGGCTAGGCCCCTGGCACACCCACCTCCTCAAAGCCATGAGGCAGGAGTGTTCTCCTTATGTGACTAGGCACAAGTTCCAAGTGGGGAGGGGACTGGCTCAGCATCCGGAGCCAAAACAGGAATAGAACTGGGAGCTGAGCCTGGAGCAGTTCTGGGCTTTTGGTTCTCCGCATCAACACAGCCAGCATGCCTATGATTTCTGTGCTGGGCAAAATGTTTCTGTGGCAGCGTGAAGGGCCTGGAGGACGATGGACTTGTCAGACAAGTCGCAGAGGTGAGACTGGAGACCCTTGATGTGATCTGGGAGGTGATAAGAAGCTGAGGAGTTAGGTGCTCAGATGGCAAGAGGAAAATTACTCTGGCTTAGATGTTGGGAACCAGGCTGAAGCAAGAACAGAGAATTAGGAAAAGGCTTTAGGATGGGGCAGAAATCAGGGGGAAAAAATCATGTAAAGAGCTGCTGACCAGATAAGGCCGGTGAGGGGAAAGAATGAAGGCAAAGGCAGCGGAGGAGAGAAAGAAGCGCAGCCAGCCTGCAAAGGGTCTGGGTAGTGGTGGGGAGGGGGACAGTGATGGTGGGAGAATTCAGTGTGCTTTCCAAAAGGAATGGTTAGGCTGAGAAACTGGAAGAAGATTTAGAAATTATCCATGTTTGGGTTCCACCGCTGAGTTTTGATGGCAAAATATTTGTAGAGGAGGAGGGTGGCCAATGGGCTGCCACAAAGGAACCCTGGAGACCCAGCAGTGGGATAGGGGTTTTCGGAGTTGAGGAGACCCAGGTGGTGCCTGATGTTCTGGTTAGTGGGGGAGGGGATGCCAAGAAATGATATGGCAAGACTGGATGAAAATAGTGATCTTGGCAGAAGTGGGGGCCCAGCTGAATAGTCTTTCCCCATCTCCTCAGTGTCCTCGGACCCCGCGTGGGCTGTCGAGTGGATTGAACTTCCTCGTGGCATTTCTCTATCCTCCTTGGGATCTGCTCGGACCCTCCGAGGCTGGAGCCGGTCCTCTCGTCCTTCCTCGGTGGACAGCCAGGACTTGCCAGAGGTGCTTGGCCCTGGTGTCGGTGTGTTGGGGGGGAGGGACCGCATTTACATCCAGGGGATCTGTGTTCCCCCACCCCCGCCTCGCCAGCCTGCTTCGGGGCCCCCTTTTCCTGCAAGCGGAGGCGCTATCCGGCCGACGGGCAGCAAGGCCGCCCCCGCGCGGGTCTGCTCGGCTCCGCTCTGTGCCAGCGGGCTGGCTTGCTCGCGCCTTCGGCGCTGACGTCAGCGCATCCCGGGCCGTATCCCGGGAGACCCTGTTGCATGGTGATGGGTTGCCAGGGAGACATACACCTTTTCTCTGGGCCTGGGCCGCAGCTGCGCGGAACGCTGGGCATGGATGGCGGCGGCGCCTAGGGGGAGCGAGAGGAGGGAGGGAGAGCGAGCCTGGAAACACCCCGTAAGTGCTCCTCCCCTTAGGCCTACCCGAAGGCTACCAGCGCCACCCTGGGGGCCCTGTCAGCCAGGTACTGAAGGGGAGGGGCAGAGGGTGGGTTTGAGGGGCAGGTGGAGGCTGCTTTCGTGCAGGGTGGGAATATAGTAGAGGAGAGCGAGGCAACGCTGGGAAGCGGGGGTGTGCCTCCATTCATTGAGGAAAACATTTGTTGGGTTTGCTAAGGAGCACTGAGCCAGGTGCAGAGTGGAGGTAGGAACTCAGATGGGTCAGAATCAGGCCTTGCCATTCAGGGCTCCCTGAGGAGCCATACAAGGGCAACGCTGGGGGAAGGGTGTCAAAGAAAAGTCAGTCTGGGCTGAAAGCACCACTAGGAAGTGGACTTTACATGGTAGGAAGCATTCTGTCAGTCAACAAAGGCCTTTCTGGCCCAGAAGAAAGCTGGGTTCCTTTTCCTGCAGGCTGTTTACTGACAGGGAAGGCATAGTGGGGTTGTATTGGACAGAGGGAACCAGTGGTGAATTCCAAGGAGGTCTGAAAGGAGGCAGGGGCCTCACAGAGGGGTCCTTCAGAGCCTGGGTATGAAGCCTACACTGATGTCACTGAAAAGATTTTAACTTTTATAAAATTTAATAAAGATATGCTGTGACCAGCTGCACTCCAGGAAAATTATTTGYTTACATTTAATACCATGTCTCTCGTTATTCAGCCAATGTATTTTGAGAGAGAGAGATTACACTTTATTAGGCACTATACTAAAATACTGGGGTGCATCATGACCACAACAGACAGAATTCTTCAAGGAGGTAAAGACCATTGAGAGAGACCAACAAGAAAAGGAAACACACGAAATAAGACCATAATTACATATTGTGATTGATAGTGATTTCTTGGAGACTACATAAGGAGGACAGACTGGCAGGGAGGACAGACTGGCAGGGAGGACAGACTGGCAGGGTGGCCAGGAGGGTTCTTCTGAGGGGGTGATATTTCAGCCAACACTGGAAGGATGTTCAAAGGAGCCAGCCAGCCATAGGAAGAGAGGGAGGGAAAGAGAATACTCACACATAACATCCTGGGCTGAGAAGATAAGAGTATGAGGAGGTTGGGGAACCCCAGCTTGTGCTAATCTGAGCAGGGATCTTTGAGGGCTTGAGGAAGGGCAGTGGGAGCAGAAAGGACGAGAGTGGTAGTAAAGGCAGTTTGGAGGTAGAATCACGAGGTCTTAACAGATGTGGGCAGGCAAAGAGTTTAAGGAAGAGCCGAGACTAATGTTGAGGTTTGACATCAGGCTGAATGAGAAAATGGTGGGGTGATACAAAATAAGGGAGACAGGAAGCAGAGCCGAATGTGGGGAGAAGGTGTTGGTTCAATTTGGTCATGCTGAGTTTGTGGCTCTGGTAGATGGTCTAGGAATAGCTGGAATGTAGATCTGAAAAGAGAGGAGGAAGGAGCAAAGGGGAGAGGAAATTAAGGAAGTCCCTGATATTATAACCTTCTGCCTTCCTCATTTTTCCTCTCCCTGGAGCCCCCACTTCAGGGCTCTTCACTTCCTAACCTGCCTATTTCCCCTCTGGTAGCTGGGAAGGTGGAGGTTAGCTATACTTCTGTTCCCTTGTGCCTGCCTGATGCTACATTGCTCCCCGGGAGTGCAGTTCACTGGTCCTAGTTTTAAGTTTCCCAGCAACACTGGACCATATGTGCTGCTCTGGCATTCTTCCCAGCTCCCGTGTCACCCTGATACCTTGGGTGGGGTATGGATATATTGGGGTGAAGATCAGTGCTGTCAGAGGGTACTGACCTTCTGATGGTGCCCCTCAAGGTGAATGTTGGAGACACAATCGCGATGCTGCCCAAGTCCCGGAGAGCCCTAACCATCCAGGAGATTGCTGCGCTGGCCAGATCCTCCCTGCATGGTATGCACCCACCTCCCATAGCCTCTGCCAATTTTGTCCTTTCTCCTCCCTTTCACACATGTCTTTTGGAATTCTTTCCTTTGGGCCTTGTCTGGGATCCTCCTTTTCCTAAAGAATCCCAGCCCTTCCTCCTACCCACATGCACTTGTATCCTTACTACCACTATCTTCCACTTCCCTTCCAGGTGTTTCTTGAACCATGCTCCTTAAGAGGCTTCTCTCTCCTTCTCCCACCCCCAGGCATTTCCCAGGTGGTGAAGGATCACGTGACCAAGCCTACAGCCATGGCCCAGGGCCGGGTGGCTCACCTCATTGAGTGGAAGGGCTGGAGTAAGCCAAGTGACTCACCTGCTGCCCTGGAATCCGCTTTTTCCTCCTATTCAGACCTCAGTGAGGGTGAACAAGAGGCTCGCTTTGCAGCAGGTGGGTGGCATAAGGAGTCAGTCCTATACTGCTGCTTCTGATCTTGGGTCTGGCAGGGGGGTTGAAGTCTTTTCATACCCATCTCTGCTCTCCCATCTGCAAATTGAGCCCTGGTCTTAGCTGAGTTCCTGTTGATGGATTCTGTATCCTCCTGATAGGAGTGGCAGAGCAGTTTGCTATCGCAGAAGCCAAGCTCCGGGCATGGTCTTCAGTGGATGGTGACGACTCCACTGACGACTCCTATGACGAGGACTTTGCTGGAGGAACTGACACAGGTGAGGGGCATTCTGTGCTGATGCTGTGTGCTGGGGTGGACTTGCCTGATAGGCCTTGTGGTTCACTCGGAGCCTTTGGAAGGGGAGGGGAGAGGGGCAGACTGTTCAGGCAGGCCTTGACACCCCAGGGGCAGGAGGGCTAGCCATACTCATGCATTGGGATATCAGTAGTTGGAAATAGAGTGGTTCCTTTCCTAGAGGTGCTGAGCCTTCTCTGCCCTTGTGTGCAGTTGGGCCTCACTGTCATTAAAAAAAAAAAAAAAAAAAAAAAAAGCCCAGAGACCTTTGGACAACTCAAGTGTCTCCAGGAGGGTCTGTGGTGCCCTGGCCTTTTCCTCTCAGGCAGCCTTCTGGCTGGCTGTGGCAGGACAGATGAGCCGCAGTGCAGCACCTCACAGGGCACTGGCCCCAGGCAAACAGGAAGGCATGCTGGGGCTGGACTCCCACAGGGCTGTGCTGGCTCTGGCTCAGCATCCTTGCATTCCAGCTTGTGGGTCTTTCTCAGGGCCAGTGCCTGTGGAGGGGAACCTGCAGGGCTGCACAGCTGTGCTTAGCTCTCCTTTCATCTTGTTTCCCTGGAGTTCATGGCTGACTTTCTCTACAGCTTCTGGGCTCAAGCCTTATAGGACCCTGCCCCCAACCCCTAAGCCTTTGAAGATCACCCTCCCAGCCCCCACCCCTCCAGCTAGGTAATAATTCTCCATGGCACCCTCTATATCCAAGCAGACCCAGTGATTGTTGCTACAGTAAAAGGGGGACTGATTTGGATGCCCAGGCCAAGATGGAACCCCAATCCACAAGCATTTTCCTTTGATTGTATTCCAGGCCTTCTTTGACCCCTGAGATAATAACTAACATTTATCTGAGGCTGCTACTACCCCATGTGGAATCTTTGAGCAAATTTTAAAAAGGCACCCTTTTCTCTGGTGGGCACAGCCTCAGGCCAGGGCATATTGCTCAATTCAGCCCACACCCACTGCCTTGTGCAGTGAACAACCTGCATGTGGTGGCTGTACATTTATTATTTGCTTCCTGTGTGCCTGACTTTTGTTCTCTCAACAACCCCACAAGGTAGGTGTTATTAGAATCCCTAATTCACCATGAAGGGAACTTTAAGGCATTGAAAGATTGTGTCTACCCCCAGCCCCAGCCCCATAGCAAAGATGGAGTGGGGCAGGGGAATGTGGCTTCCAGGTTGGGCAACTGAAATGGGGCCAGCAGACCTGTCTTCTTTTCTTTCCCCCTCGCAGACATGGCCGGGCAGTTGCCTCTGGGGCCCCACTTCCAGGACCTCTTCACCGGCCGACGATTCTCCCGGCCTGTGCGCCAGGGCTCTGTGGAGCCTGAGAGCGACTGCTCGCAGACCGTGTCCCCAGACACCCTGTGCTCTAGTCTGTGCAGCCTGGAGGATGGGTTGCTGGGCTCCCCAGCCCGCCTGACCTCCCAGCTGCTGGGTGATGAGCTGCTCCTTGCCAAACTGCCCCCCAGCCGGGAAAGTGCCTTCCACAGCCTGGGCCCGTTGGAGGCCCAGGACTCGCTCTACAACTCGCCCCTCACGGAGTCCTGCCTTTCCCCTGCCGAGGAGGAGCCAGACCCTTGCAAGGACTGCCAGCCACTTTGCCCACCACCAGTGGGCAGCTGGGAACGGCAGCGACAAGCCTCTGACGTGGCCTCTTCTGGGGTGGTGTCCTTAGATGAGGATGAGGCAGAGCCAGAGGAACAGTGACCCAAATCATGCCTGGTGGTGGCATGTGTCCCCTGGCTGCTGCTGGGGGCAGAGCCTCCATGCCCAAGTGTTGGGTTCAAGGCTCTCAGCAAGCTCCTCAGCCTAGAGGGCTACTGGGAGTCCTCACTTGTCCGTTGTGTGTTTTGCATGAAAGTGTTTGGAGAGGAGCCAGGGGCCGGGCTGGGGGCGCATGTCCTGCCCCCACTCCTGGGGTTTGCCGGGGGTTGCCCGGGGCCCCTGGGGCATGGCTACAGCTGTGGCAGACAGTGATGTTCATGTTCTCAAATCTAAAATGCCACATTTTCTCCTCAGATGATGTGAACCCCTGAGGAGGTTGTTCTGGGCTGTGGGATGGACTGGGAGGGAGCCTGGCCACCTCCTCTGCCCTCCCCATGCCTCTCTCTGCTTCTCTCCTCACCTCCGAGTCCATGTGCAGTGCTTGATAGAATCACCTCCACCTGGGGGGCTGGCTCCTGTGGATTGAGCCAACCCCTAAGGACCCCTTGCCCAGCGGGGCACGTGCTGTGCTTCACCTCTCCATTGTCTCTAAATCTTCTTCTTTTTCCCTAAAGACAGAGGGTTTCTGGTCTGTTTTTTCAGTCGGATCTTCTCTGGGAGGCACTGGAATGATGGAAGCATGTACCCTTTTCCTGCCCCCCTCCCCGTGAGGCCTGGGCCCTTTCCCAGACTTCCAAGGATGTGTGGGCACTTGGAGTTCTCTTGAGGGTGGAGCTGGAAGAAAGGGTTGCTCTGGTTGCTAGAGCTGTGACTTCGATGTTCTTCCAGAGAGGGCCACAAGGGGGCCACAGGGGTGCCAGGAAATTGTCAGCTGATGCCTGCGCAGCCAGCTTGGAATTGTGCCAATGAGTGATGGTCATGAGGGAGTGCCTCTCCTAGGGGAGGAAAGGGTAGTGCCTTTCTTGGCTGAGTGAAAGGCCACAGTTACAGTACCAGGGACCCTGCCCCAACCAGGGTGTTGATGACCCAGCATGGAGATCTTTGGCAGATCCTGTATTCCAAGGACACTGGAGTCCAGAATTTTAAGGCTGTGGGGAGGGTAGGTGACTGCAGAATTAAGAGCCTTATAGGCTTTGGCAGGTAAGAGGACCCAAGGTAAGAACAAGAGCCAATGGGCACAAACATTCTATATATAAGTGGCTCATTAGGTGTTTATTTTGTTCTATTTAAGAATTTGTTTTATTAAATTAATATAAAAATCTTTGTAAATATCTATATACATCTGGTCATTGGAGGTTCCAGTATAAAYCCATCTTAGTTCTACCTTTTTTCCCTTCAAAGGGGAGCAGGGGTCAAGTGACCCATCCTGCCAGGGTGGTGCCAATCTTCCTGCACTTGGAAATCTTCCTGCAGGTGGGTGCTGGGTAGGATTCCAGGTAGGATAGACTGGGAGAAGCTAGCATCCCAGGTCTGGACAGGGGACTGGAGCTTCAGCTGCCTCCTGCTTTCCCAAGGCAGAAGGGATATGGCTACCACCATCCTGGGCCACCCACAGAAGGGTTCACTGGCACTTGTCGTCGCTGTCAGAAGGGCTGCCTTCCCGGGGAAGGCCGTGGCGGGAGCGGGGCCCCCAGAGTGCATGCACCTCAGTGGTCTCTGTGTCACTGCTGCTGGTGGCACTGTCTCGGAAGCTGGCAAGGGGTGGTCGGACTTTCACACCCTGTGCTGTGACAGAGCCCTCGATGGCCTTCCGAAGCTGGAAAATGAGAGTTGTCAGCTATCTGGACTTGGAACTTTCTGCTCAGGCCCCTCCCCAGCATTCCTCTGGGGAAGTAAACATAAGCTTCCATGTCATTGGAAGGGGATGTGGCTTTGTTGGTTACTACTATCTCACCTCCTTTAGGGTAACAATTCCAATGAGTCTGCCAATACTGGTAACATAAGCATGGTCCACTCCCAGTAGTGAGAAGATGGTGTGAGTCTGCAGGGTGGAGAGAAAACACATTGGATTTGATGTTGGAAGGGGCAGTTCTGAAATCACAGGCCAAAGGGACCCAGGACAGGGTCTGTGGGGGTATCCCAGGTAATAGGAGGAAGGGGACAGGTCTACTGGAAGGAAAATAGAATGTTTCTGTGCCTGTAGGCTTCAGAAACTTGATGGCTTGAAATCCCTTATATCATTTTAATTGATGGGGTCACCCTCATGTCCCTATGTTTGTTTTGCTTTGGGCCTTCTCCCAAGTTTTCAAATGTGATCCCCAATAATTCAGAAATTGGGCTGAGTGTGGTGGCACTCGACTGTAATCCCAGCATCTTGGGAGAGTGAGGCAAGAGGATCGTGAGTTCAAAGCCAGCCTCAGCAACTTAGGCCTTAAGCAACCCAGCAAGACCCTATCTCTAAATAAAATACGAAAAGGGGATGGGGATGTGGCTCACAGGCTGAGTGCCTCTGGGTTCAATCCCTAGGACCATAAAAAAGAATTCAGAAATTGTCATTCAGTCCCCTTTGTGCTGTAGGTGGATTTTCTTGGGCCAAATGTCTTGAAAACAGCTCTCCTGACTCAGCAGTTCCTGGAATTTCGGCCTATCAATTATCTCACTGTTCTGAGTTTAATTGTAAGCCTCTTGGCTTAATGGTTGATTCAAGATGGGCAGTAATAACCCTGCTTCTTGAGTACCAATTACTTAGAACTCACTTAAATTGTCTTAACACCTTTGAATTGTTTTCTTATACCCTGAAATTCTATAGAAAGGGATTTCTAGAACTTTCCTTTTTCCATCTAAGGCATGACAGTATTTATAAAAAGAGGCAAGAAGTTCAGTTTTGGAAAAAGCTCTTCTGTGTCCCTTAAGTACCTACAAAATTGTCATGTTGTTAGCAAGTCCTTCCTTATATCTAACTTGAATCCTACATGCTACAAGTCAGCCTTAATTTCCTTGTATGACTCCAGTGGGAAACATCTTTATTATAGGGTTTCTTATTTTAATAATCCCTTAGCCTCATCGTCTTGTGGTCAAATAATCCCTCTCATCTTCTCCCAAGAAGCCTATTAAATAGTTCCCTTGGATTTTCCTAATCAGAGTGGGCTCTGGCAGGCAATGTGCTTTTTAGGTTTGTAAATCACTTGTCTGTGGCAATGACCAAGCCTCACCAATCTATTTCCTAAACATCCTCGCTATTCTCCCCAGCTATTAGCCTCACTATCTTCACCAGGACTCGGGCCACAATCGTAGAATGGGTTTTCTCTCTGGCTTGGCTCTGCTGCCCTGTTTTCTTAGACTTGCTCAGTGCCTAGCTTCCTAGAATGGTCCATGAGCTCCTTCCCAAGCCATCCCCAGCTTGTCTTACTGGCCGATTCCATGGTGCATTTCAGCTTCCAGACTCACATAATCACTCGGCTCTTTTCTGAAAATATTCATTTCTTCCACACTTCAGACCTGCTCTCATTGTACCATCTTTAAAAATCTCCCACTGTTCATTCTTCAGTATAAGTAGCAGTAGTAATTCCTAACACATTTTAAATACTCTGTGTGAGGCACTGTTTTAAGTGCTTCCAGGGTCTTATCTCCTTTAATCTTCAGAAAGCCAAATGAGGCAGGTCCCCCACTTTACAGATAAGTGAAGTGAAGTGCAGAGAGGCTAAGAAATTTGCCACAGTTGCACAGCTAACTCACACGTGGCAGTGAGCACTGATCTGGCCCTCACAACTCCTGCTGTTTCTCTGTAGGTGACCCCTGAGTGAATGAGGTACCTGGCTGGCACATGATCAACACAGGTTCTTGAACAGTCTCCAAAGTATTCTCTCTCCTCTTGGAATGTTTCCTTCTGAACTTGACTGGGCTACTACTTACTGATTCCTCGGGCCTGCAGAGACATTTTGAATTCTAATCTTTTATGTCCTTATCATCTAGTTCTTTATATTTTTGTTGATTGGTTCCTTTTAAAGGCTTTTCTTCCTCTGATTTTTACGTTTGTAACAAACATCTGCTTTGTTCCTTTTAATTTAATTAGACATCAGGGAGCCCATTGGAGGGTCCACTTTCTTGGGCTTGAGAACAGTGAACTGACAGGAAGAGACAATGTGGTCTTCTGAAAGAATCCTGGGAGCAGGACCAAGAGCTCTGAGTTCTGAGTTCTCTGCTAAACTGACTCAGGCAATGACCTCCTTGTCATGGGCCTCAGTTTTCCTATGTACTAGAATGGCTTAGATGACAGGCCTTTTATTTTTATTTTTGAAAATTTTTTTTCAGTTGTCATTGATGGACCTTATTTTATTCATCTATTTAATACAGTGCTGAGAATCAAACCCAGTGCCTCACACATGCTAGGCAAGTTCACTACTGCTGGGCCACAACCCCAGCCCAGCCACAGGCTTTTTGAGTCACCATCTTGTATTCCAGGTTCTAGTTCCACTCCTAACTGTGTGACCTTGAAAAACTTGCTTACCTCCCAGAATCTCAATTTGTTCTATAAAAACTGGAATATCACAATATCTATCTTATAGTGTGGTTGTGAGGATTAGATTACACATGTGATGACCTTAGCACAATGTCTGGCATATAGCAACACTCAAAAATATCATCATTGTGGATGTCTGAAGATTAAGATGATTAATCATTGTGGAAAAGCTTTAGCAGTCTTAGGGACAAAGGCTTTAAATAAAAGCCTAATATATTATCTTCAGGCCTATCTCCTTTTTTTTTTTGCAACTGTATTGCAATTCCCCATTCACTTTAATCTGAGGTCTTTATCTAAATGCTGGCAAGTTCCTTTATTGCTGTTTGCTTTTTTGTTTCTCTTTTGTCCCCTGTCCTTCCTGCCTCCACCTCTGCTTGTAGCATGCAACGCTGACTCTTGTGCCTAAGCCAGCCACCCACCCAAGCATTGGGCCTTGGGAGTTTTACCTGAAGCCTGTCCCCTCAACCYACATCTTCCAACAGAGGTTTGTACATTAAGTCTGTCAAAGATTTAGCTTTTGTGGGGTGTGTCTGCACTCCCTGCCTTCACTTGGAAGCCTGTAGGTGCCCGCTGGCACCAGCTACCTCTTGGGAGCCCTGAAGCCATACTCCCCAGAAGGCCCCCACCTTCCTCAGGTGTCTGTCTCACCCCCTACTCACCTATCTGTACTGAATCTCCCCATTTCTGCAGCGGTGTTGACTTTCTGCTGAGCTATTTTCCTGAGTCTCTACCAGTTTTCCTTTGGCCCATATTAAACCAGACTTTCTGGGGTCTGACATTCCAAACCCCCCACTGAGTGTTTCTCATCTTTGTTTATTTCTTTTCTGCAGTCTCTCCACCCCTACTTGGCTATTTGTTAGCTTGTTTATTAGATTTTCTTATCCTGCCTGTTTCTCACCCGATCTTTTTAGTGTGGGTGTATCAGCCTTGTTGGGCTCTGGCAGCCTCCTGCCTAGCTCTGACCCTGGCCTGGCCTTTTGGCTTACAACCAGCTCAAGCTCTGTCTTTGTTGCTGCTTTGCTCCAATGTTCCTGGGGGTGAGGCTAAGCAGAGGAAAAATGATGCCTGGCTCCACTATGGAGCAGGGCAAGGCTAAGGGGCCTTGGCTTCCAGCCTCCCATTGCCCACAGTAACATCTGAAAAACATCTCAGCAGCGTCTACTCTCTCTCGCCTCCTTCCTTTCCCACTGGCCTGACTCTAAACTTGTTGATGTGTGTGGGGCGGATGGTGGTGCGGGCAGACCCAGATCCCTATCCTGTTCCACACCAGGCCACTGGCCCTACCTTGTGCAAAGAGGTGCGCTCCACCAGCTGGAAGGGGGCAGGATCAATTTTGCAGWCACTGAAGTTGACAGGTTCATCTAGTTGTTGTTCTTCCCACTCCAGAATCTGAGAGGAAGAGACTGAAGGTTAGGGAGAAGGTGTCAAAAGCTGCTCTCACCTTCCTAAAGGTTGACTTGCCCTTTATTCTACCCCATGGTCTTTCCCATTGGAAAGACCAAACACACCCAGGAAGAAACAGGGTCCAGAGTCCAGTGGTGCCTTACCTCCTCAGGGCTCATCTCGCCTTCCAGGTCCGAGTCACTCTAGAAAGGAGGGAGGGAAGTAAGTGGAACTCCAGCTCTGGGAGGTTTACCCARCCTAGACTTTCAAACCTCCCTACCCAGTGCTCCTGAGCTGCAGGAAGAGAGGCTGAACATACCGCCAGGGAGATTCGGACCCGCTTCAGCTTGCGCTTGTCACAGGATTCTGGCTTCTCCAACTTTGTCAGAGCCAAACCAGAGAGGAAAGGTGTTGAGGTTATAGGGAGAGGGAAGGTGAAGGGTGTGGTAGAGCTCAGTGGGAAGGGCACCCTGCAGGACCAGAGCTGACAGCTGGGAGGGCAGAGGGCAGGTAGAATGGGGCAGGCACTGACTGGTTAATGGAGAGGGGGGTCTCAGCCTTAGAGAGAACTGGGGATAAAGTAAACCAGGAGGGGCGGCTCCAACCACTCACCTCTGAAGCCGCCTCAGGAGGTGGACTGCCACAGAAAAGGCTCCTGAGGGCAATGCCTGCTGACTCCACATTGCCTGTGTTCCCAAACACAAGGCCCCAGGGGAAATGTCATCTTGGGGGAAGAGGACCAGAAGAGGTGGAGAAACCAAGAGAGAGGTGTCTCATTTCTACCCCTGGCCCATCTGGGGGGTCTCTTTTAGCTGATAGGGTGAGCAGGAATCCTATGGATCTCAGTGGCCTGGCTCAGGCTGTGTATGGGATGGAGGAGAGATGAGCTCACCTGTAGGACTCTCCCTGAGGTTGGTGGCATTGCTGGGTCCCCTCTTTAAAGCAGGCTTCAGGGGTTTGTGAGTCTCCCCACGGGAGGCAGGGAAGCCTGAGTCGTCTGTGTTCACCTGCACAGGCAGGAAAGGGCTGGAGAGGCTGTGGCTCCAGACCATCCTCTAAATCATCTTCCCCATCCGTCTATACAACAATACTTTGGAAGTGTGTGTGGCTGTGGGGCTTTTCCCCTCACCTGGAAGCGGACAGATGTCCCTGGGCTAGGAGGACTCTCCTGATCAGAGGTGGAGATGTCTGGGCCTTCTATGCTCCTGCATGTACTGTCGCCGGCGGGTGGGGCTCAGTTGAGCTGCCAGTAGGGCCMCCACCTGTGAGCGCTCAATGGACCCCAGCAGGATCATGGACTCTGGATAGAGCAAGTGGGAAAACTCAGTTGCTGGGGGGTGACCCTCCCACCCCTTGGACCTTCTCTCACACCCAGAGTGGGGCCTTGGATATAGGCTGCACACCACAGGGAAACCCCTGCCTGGCAAGTGCTAATCCATTCCCTTTGGAACGAAGGAGACTAGTCCTGAGCTCCCTGCCCCTTCCTGAGCTACAACCCTGGGAGGTGCTCACAGCACCTGGGAACCCTCCTAGCCTCACCAGGGGACTCCACTAGGGCCAACATGCGACCCTTGGTCCTGTGCAGTGCCAACCGCAGATCCCGGAAGGTGCAGCTGAGGGCCACGTGGGGAACATCCCGCACCATGATGTCCTCCACTCGCACCCGGTACTGCCTAGGGGCAGAGTGGGGTACTCAGTTTGTCATCAGCATAAGGAGAATAGCCCAGAGCACTACCACCCAGTGTCACAGGGAAGGCCCCAGAGCCCCAGAGGACAAGGGACGAAGGCTCAAGTGTCCAGAAGTGTACCTACCCACCACTATTTTTTGTACTGGGGATTTAACCCAGGGGCACTCTACCACTGAGCTACATCCCCAGCCCTTTTTACTTTTTGAGACAGAGGGTCACTAAGTTGCTTAAAGCCTTGCTAAGCTGCTGAGGCTGGTCTTGAACTTGTGATTTTCCTCTCTCAGCCTCCTGAGTCACTGGGATTATAGATGTGTGCCACTGTGCCTGGCCTCACCCTTCTTTTTGGTCAGTTGGGGCCACCTACAGGGAACCCCAGGGAGAAGGCAGCCTGAAGGGAGGGAAAGAGCAAGGTGGCCAGTCCCCCAGCTTAAGGCCTTGCTGGAGGTGGGTGAGAGGGCTCCTAGGAAGCCTTCTGCCCCTCACCCACACCCTTTGCACCCTGTCCTCCATACTGGTGGCGGCCCCAGCCCAGCTCAGGCAGGTAGGGCAGTTTCTTGATCCTGATGATGCTGTCATAGAGTGAGGGCTGTAGGCTCTGGGCAACAGCATTGGCCAGGATGAGGGCAATCATGACAGGCAGGATATGGGCGATCTGGCCCATGAGCTCGAACACAATCACGGCTGTGGWTACTGTGTGTGTCACTGCTCCTGCCAGTGCAGCCGCCCCTGGGGAGAGCCATTCTCAGTCTCAGGATGCCCAGGTCCCAGAAGACCCTCCCTTCCCTGGGCAGGGCCTATGGTGGTCCCTCAGGATTGTCCCAAATAGTCCTTAGGACTGGACCTCTGCATCTGCCAGCAGGGGGCACCAGAGACTCAGACTCTGTGGCTGGGGCAGTGGTCTTCCAAGGCAGACGCAGACAGTGAGGGTCAGGGGTTACACTGCTGGGGGCGTGTTTGCCTAGCATGCAAGACCCTGGATTTGATCTCCAACACTACAAAGCAAGAGACCTAGAGCACTCACCAACCACTGCATAGCCCCCAGGCACAATCCGGTAGGTACTGCTGTCTGTGTGAATCCCATCTGGGAACCAGGCAGCCATGCTTTCACCCACCAGACGTCCAAATGCTGCTCCTTCAGGGAGGGGGGTGGGAAGAGAAAAAGGTAGTGGAGGGGGAGGGCAGGGGCACTAGGAAGAGAAAGGGTCAGAGGGTGGGGGAGGGGCCGGTGGGTCATTCAGTGCAGGGGGCAGCCCTGCAGGGTTGGGGGTCTGGGCAAGGGGCTGGACTAAAACCCACTCCTGGGCAGAGAGGGGATGGCCAGGGATTGCCAGAGTATAGGGAGGGTGCAGGGCTGGAGGTCAGGCAGTTGCAAACTCACCGATGACAAAGACAGGCATGAAGGCCCCACAAGGCACAGGGATGGTTGTAGCCAGTGCAGACATCCAGAACTGCAGACAAGAGGCAGTTCAAACAAGCAGAGGTGCCCCCCAGCGAAGCCTGTCTTGCTTATCAGCGGGAATAATCTCCCCAGGTATCTCAGAATCCCAGGAGATGAAAGGAAGGGAAAGGAGTCTGGAACCAGATGGCTTGGGTTCAAATCCTTACACATCGAATAACTGTGTGACTATGGGCCAATTACTTAACCTCTTTGTATTTCAACTCCGTGTCTTTAAAACAGGGACAAGAGCACTTTTCTTATAGGGTTGCTATGAAATTTAAAGGAGTTAACACAAAGCAAGTGCTTGGGACAGCACCGGCACCCCGTAAGCCTATGTAACGTTAGCGATATATATGTAGGAAGCCCCACCTTCATCAGAATGAAGATGACCAGGGTGAGGAAGACGTTGGCACGGGGTGGGCTCCAGGCCTGTGAGGTGCTGGATGGCTCTAGCTCTTCTACTAGGCCCTGGCGGACCCATGTCCGGTTGTCAAACAAGGTGACCAATGTCTCCTTCTGTGAAAGCTAAGGTAAACAGGGTGCCTCAGGCTAGGGAACAGACAAGCTGCTGGGAAAGAGCCAAAGGAACCCACAAGAACAGGGATCCCAGAGTCATGCTGGGCTGTTACTTTAGAAGTAATGTGTCTGAGGGAGGAGTGCACGTGTCAGTTTTGCCTGGGGTTACCTGTCCAGCCATGAACTGCCCAAAGCCAGGGGGGAAGGTCAGAGTGGAGATGAGCAGGGTCACCAGAGCCGGGAAGAGCAGGCGTCTAGAGATATAGGTTTCACAGCATCAGGCATGGGGAGTGTGACCTCCTATGGACAGTAATGAGCTGAGTGCCCTCACATACCTCAGGGCTGAGGTCAGAGCAGAGTCTTGGCTCTTATGAGTAGCAGCAGCAGAAAATGCATCCCTAATGCTTTTTTGGACACCTCTGAGTGGTGACTCTGCCCTCCACCCACAGAAGGCCCAACTGAAGGGCACACATTGTGTGAAGGTATACAGACATTTCTGTTTCTGTCTCTCTGTGGCGACTTAGGGTGAAGGTTAGTGTAGAGGAAGCTGGGGTCACTCATGAAGTGGACCAAAGGTGCTGTAGGGAGCAGGTTCAGTTGGCTGCCCTCTCCCTTAAGGACGTAATTTCAACAAAAGTCACTTCTCAGGCCTCTCCACTCCTAATCATCAGGGTCACAACTGAGAGCTGTGTTCCAGAGATAAAAAATCTCATCGATTCCCATGGGTCACAGGGGGTAAACCAAGGCAAACAAACACTCTCCAGGGAACACTGCCATCTAGGCCAGGCCACAGGACGAAAGAAAGCTTCAGTCTTGGATCCCAAATATCCTTTGTCACTACTAAAATTCAACTTTCCAGTAATTCATATGAACGTCAGAATGTTTAGTCAGCCTGGAAACACCATTGGCTCATTTCTCAGTGCAGTGCCTAGGCCACTCTCTCATTCCTCACTGTCCCCCTGCCCCATCTGGCCCTCATACAACCCAAAGCTTCCTGGAGAAGTCTATGGTCAACTCACTTCCTCATGAGGAAGCGATTGATGGTTTTCTGCTTCCGCATCACCTGTACAATCTTCCGGTTCAGGTAGACAAAGAGGGCTCCCCCAAAGCCACTAGCAATGCTGGAGAGGGAAGAAGCACTAGTGTTGAAGAGGGTTTTCTTGTGGAAGCCTCCCTCCTGTCTGCCCCCACCTCCCACCCCTCAGTTCCTTACCCAATGACAGCAAAGGCTGGCAACTCCTGCAGGTCAAAGGGAAAGTCGAGCCGGAACCGGGTTTTGAAGAGAGCAGTAATGGTCTCTGAAGGAGTAGCAGGGAGGCAGGTCTAGCTTCAGGGATCCCCCACCTAAATCATCTTGGGCTCCCTCATCCCCCAGGTGCCGCCCACCTTCATCACGGTTCCAGACTGCCAAGACCCGGAAGATGAAGGCACTGAAGGTTGCAGCAAAAAAGCCCCGCCAGTAGTTTCGCACAGCAAAGAAGGTGGAGGTGACCTCGATACTGAACAGGACACCTGCCAGGGGAAGGTGAGAGCATTACTTGGGGCTGGGCGTGGTCTAAGGACTCAGACCCAGAGGAGAGGGGCAGAGGAGGAGAGGCCAAGGCAGGGTTGGGTTGCTGTGCTCATGGAGGAGTCCTACCTACCTCCAATAGGTGCTGCAAAGCAGMAGCCCACACCCACAGCACAGGCAGCAGCCAGCATCTCCGTGTTCCGAGATTCATTCTGGCAAGAGTGGTGCAAGGGGGCATTAGCCTGGGCTCAGCACCTACCCACCCCCTTTTCCCCAGGGATCCCCTTACCTCATAGATACCCCCAAAGAGAGAAAGGAACTTGCTGAGAAGGGCAGCACACATGCTCGCAATATGCACAAAAGGGCCCTGCAGGGTGAGGGCCTGTGATGAGTGGGGAGGGGCCCTGCCCTGATCTTGGCCTGGTCTCTTCCTCCACTGGGAAGGACTCCATTCCCCAACCTGTAATTACCTCTTTGCCAAGGGGCATTCCACTGCCCAAGGCACAGGTCAGCCCAATGACCTTAGCCACAAAGGTCTTGAGAGTGAGGTATTCTTTCAGCACCACTCCCCGCAAGATGGTCTTCATCTCGGGGATGCCAGACCCTGGAGGGGGTTCATGCCCATAAAAGTCACTTGATGTTCACACTTCAGGAGGCCTGACCTCTGCCCTCTCCTCTCTCCTATCATACCAACAGCCTGAGGGGCCAGGATCTGTGTGAATCCGGCTGAGAAAGTGATGAGAACGACAGGGTAGGTAACCCAGGCCAGGTACTGGAGTAAGATGCTGGTGTTTAAGCCCCGAGACATCCACTGCTGGGCTGTGGAAAGAGGACATGCTGCTGGACCCCAATGCACACACCTGCTCCTGGCCACTGGGACACACTAATATGATGTTTTCCCAGGGAATACTGCACAGAGCCTGGGCACAGATGGAAGGAAAGGGGCCCTAGGGCATACACTAGGACAAAGCCCACTATAGGTAAAAGGGTCAGTTGGAAACAGGCAAGAAGTTTGCAGGGTGTGGTGTTGCACACCTATAATCCCAGTGGCTTAGAAGGTTGAGGCAGGAGAGTTGCAAGTTCAAAGTCAGCCTYAGCAACTTAAGGAGACCCTGTCTCTAAATAGAGTATTTAAAAAAAGGGCTGGAGAAGTGGCTCAGTGGTTAAGTGCCCTGGGTTCAATCCCCTATACCAAACCAAACCAAATCAAAACAACAACAAAAAACCACCGTGAAGTTATGGGACCTATGGGAGTGGTAGTATTTGTGCCGGAAGGCAGTTAGGAAGGCAGTTAGACCGTATGGGGAAAGTGATCAGTGGCCAAGAAGCCAACAACTTTTGCACATTGGAAGTAGGTTGGTTTTCCCCAGTCCTCCCACTGCCAGCCTTTGCTCTCACCCTGTAGACAAACAGCAATGGCATAATCCATGGCCCAGCTGACCAGTGCCATGACGAGCCCCAGGAGGACCAGGAAGATCCAGTCTTCACCAACCCTGGATACTAGGAACTTGTGGCAGCGTACTGAACAGACTGGGAGCAGGGAAGGTAAGATCAACAGGGAGTCTGGCACCAAGTACTCCTATCCTGATTACTGCTTCTCCCCTTCCTCCACTGGTAGCTCCAATGGCTTCTTCCCCCTCAGCACGTCACAACCCCGCCAGGTCCCCTGCCCCAACCCAGGTCTCACTGCGGCATCTGGCACATCGGCTCTGTCCATATTCCAAGAGCTCTGGGGGAGCCCGAGGGGACGGGGGCCCCTTCCAGGGCTCAGGGCCTCCCAGGCGAATCCGAGCAGCTTCCTCTTTGGCAAAGGCCCCGAGTTCCTGAGTATACCGGCCATACATCTGGAGCAATGGGGAAGATGGGGCATTAGTGTGCATGGGCTCAGTGGGGATACAGGGAGGGCGCCTGGGGCTTGACTCCCCTTCTCCCAGCCTCCATATTGTATACCCCCCTTGAAACCACAGTTCCCACTCTGGCTTGGCGTGTGGGAACAATGTACATTGCTGAGTGTGGGGGCTGCCCTGGCTACAGGGAAAGCTAAGGTACAGGGACACAGATCTGGGGGTGGCAGAATAATTGGTCCTCTTCTCATAGGCCAGAGGTGGGAGCACTGAAGAGGAGTGGGAGGGAAGGCTCCAGAAGAGGGAAAAGATGGAAAAGCCTAAGGCACAGTCTGAAAGTGGGAGGAAGGAAGGTCAGAGAATAAGGGATGGTCAAGGGCATATGGGCAACAATAAGAGCCTGGCGGAGCTGAGGGCAGCTGAGTAGGGCCTAGAAGCAGGCGCGGCCCCAATCCTTATCACGTTCCTGCTGGGCCTCTGGCCTGTTACCAAATCAGCTGCACCCCTCCCACCCACCCTAATCCCCTTGTCCCCATTCTCCACCCCACCCCCGACTAGCCAACCAGCCCAGCTGGGAATGGAAAGCTTCTCCAGGAGGGTGGAGAGTGCTTGGTGGCCTCAGCCCCACTCTAGAGCTGCCCAGAGTCCAGTAGCAGGTCGGGGACAGCAGAGGCTGCGGATGGCAAAGCTGTGACTGTGGATGCTGGGTGATGGGACGGGAGAGTAGCCGAGCTATGGCTAGACCTGCCAAGCTGGGCGTGTGTTGGGGGGTGGGGAGGAGTAGATTCCGGCTGCCACCCGCAGAGCTTCAGGACACAAAGGGCTCCTGTTGGGGCTGGGGTTGGAGGGGGGAGAGGGAGGGACAGATAGAGACACAGACAGAGAGTGAGAGATAGTGAGAAAAGGGAGAAGCTCAGAGAGGAGAACTAGAGAGAGGCCAGAGAAAACACAGGAGAGATGAGGGGGGAAAGAAGCAGGGAGGAGGAAAAGAGGGTAGAATATAGAGATACAGTGTAGGAGGGGGGAGGTGAGAGACAGACAAAAGGGTAGGAAGGACAAGGGGGAGAGGCTGGAGCAGAGAGTGCCGGGAGAGAGCTTGACCCTGAGAGCTCATTCCTGAGATAGAGACACAAGGGAAGGAGATGGAGATGTGGCTGGTGCAACAGAGACACCATTTGGGAGGTCAGGTGCCTGGCTCCATGATCAGTGCCCCCTCTTTGGCCTCTGCAGACTACAGATATCTCTCACCCTGTCCCAAGGGCTTGTTCTGCTCCCTTTGCTCTGCTCCCATACCTACCACCTCCCCTGGTCATCCTGTTTCATCCAGTCTCCCTTTCCCTCTCTCTTTTGTAATTGGGCACCTCCCAGACTCAGTTACAGCCCAGGCCCTCTTCACCTGGAGAGGTTACCTCCCTGCCACCCTCCTGGGCAAATTCCAGCCCAAGCTGATAAAAAGGAGCCATGGGCCATTCCTTTACCTAGGGCTTAGGTCTTCCACTCAAGTGATATAAAAAGGGTCAAATGGCTTCTCAAATACTAAGTAAAGGTTGAATCAGCTGAGAACCCAGGACCCCTACTCATTTAGAAAATGAGGTCAAGGAACACCCAGGGTTGGGTGGGGGCTGTATACCTAGGGACAGCATGAACAGAGGTCCCAATTCCCACACCCATATCTGCTTCACCCATCCTCCCTAAAGCTCCTGTCCTCCAGGGTGGTAGGCCATTCCCCCTAGCCAGGATCGACTGAGAGGTTCCTGCCAATGCTGGTTTTGAGCCCACAAAGGCAGAGGTTTGAGTCTGATCACCTGTCTACACACTCTAGATTCTATGCTTAGCAGAATGTCATTCATGTACATTTAGGGACACAGGGAATGTCTTGGATGGTGGAGACAGAAGGGGTGTGGATAAAGTTCAAGGGTGTGGATGGTACTGGGGAAGGGTATTAGCGCGCTGAGACTTGGGCTCAAACGGTGAGGAAAGGGGCAAAGAAAACGAGTGTGTTGGAGTGGGGGTAAAGGGAAGCACACCGCAGATAAACACTTGGTGTCATTGTCCTCTGCAGGCCCCCAGGCTCAGCCAGAAGTCAGCAAGCAGCTTTCCAACCTTTTGGCGCTGCAGCCTCTCGGACTCCTCAGCCTCAGTTTCCCCAGCTCAGAGGACTGAGGCGGAGGTAGGGTAGGCCCCCAACCCTTGCGCTTCCTAGGGTAATCTGGAACAGCTGTGCCGAAGTGCAACCCTTCGAGCTCGGCTAGGCTTCACTTACCAGGGTCTGCTCGTACTGCAGCGCTCGCGGCTCCATCCCTTCCTCGGCCGCCACGGCCGCCGAGGCCGCCATCTCCGTGTACTGCCCTCTGGCTTCCCTCTGCCGCTCGGGCTCCGGCCTGGTCTCTGCTCCCAGCCCGCAAAGCCCGAGCAGCCACCCGTCCGGTCCCCGCAGCCCGAGCGGCCGAGTGCAGAGTGTGGCGGGTCCCGGGCGGGCGCCGCAGGCGCAGCCTCCCGCTCGCGTCCCCTCCTCGGCGGGCGGGCCGAGGGCGGTGCCCTCTGCGCCGCTCCGCCCGCCGGCCCATCCGGAGGGGCCGGCCCATCCCGCTTGGGGTCTGCGATGGAGCCGCCTCTCAGGCTCGAAAGAGGCGGCAGGGGGCGCTTTGCGTGAGAGCACGCGCCCCCTCCCTTGGAGGCTGGGGACTGACTGGGGCACCCACGTCTGGGGCGCGGGCGGGTCCGCCGGCACGTGGAGGGGCTGGGCCCGGTCCACAGCTCTCTGGGCTGGGCAGGAGGACTTGGAGACGTTGGGGTTCAGTAGGACTTGGGGCTTGGAGCTCCAAAACCGTCTAAATTGGGCTCCTGAGACTCGATCCGTTAGGAGCAGCCCCTTCTCTGCTCCTAGAGAGGAACAGGTGGTTCAGGAGAGTCCGGGTAGTCCCCTCTGCCCGATCCAGGGTGAAAAGCAACTGGGAGCGAGTCAGAGGGGAATTCTAGGCCGCCTTCCTCATTCCCTCCCTTTCTTCTTTCTTTCCTCGGGGCTCCCTCAAGGAGGTGCACCTGGAGCTGCCAGGCCTTCGGGGTGTGCCGGGGTGGAGGTGGAGAGGGTACGGGAAGAGGTGAGGCCTGAGGGAAGGGAGTTGTAGGTGCTGGGGAGGCCACTCCTGGGAGGCGGGTGTGGGGGAGCAGAGGTCGCTTCTCCCTGGCAGGGCCCAACCAGAAACCCGAGTAGCTGCTGACGTCTCGCCGTGTTGGGGGAACGGCCTGCTGGGGCTCCGCATTCTCTATCGGGGTCCTTGGAAGGATAGAACAGAGTGGAGTGAGCACAGGATGGATAGGCATTGTTAGAGCTAGAGCCACGGGAGAGCGCGGGCCCCAGAAACAGTTTGTAGGAGGGCGCAGTCCCAGGATGAGGGGCATTTGGGGGACAGCGGCAGTGCTCTAGGGGAAGGGTTGGTGCCCAGTGAGGAGGCAGTATGAGAGAGGAGCTACCAGGAAGAAGAGGCAGTTTGAGAGAAGACCTCTTCTCTACAATAGGGGGACAATCCAAGGTGTGCAGGAGAGGGCAGTGGTGGGGGAAAGGCAGTACCAAAATTGAAGGGGCAATGCTTTTGGGGAGCGCAGTGTGAGGGGATTAATGTCAGACCGAAGGGGAGGTGGTGGGAGGAGAGCAGGACCCAGGGAAAGAGGGCAGTGATGGGGAGGGTGCAGCACCAGGGGAGGGGACAGTGCAGACTTTTCTTTTCTCCATAGTGACATCAAGGCAAATTCCSAAGCCGGACGGACCCGGTCGGGTGACGTCCAGCTGGGCCGAGCCGGCCGGGGCCAACCCCGGGGGCCTTGGTGCCAGCTGGAGGGGCTGGGCACTATGCCCTACCGGGCCAGCTTTCTGGGGGCGGGGTTCTGATCCACCCGCCCCCGGTGCGGACTGTGCCCGGGCGGGCTTGCGGACCAGCAGGGCAGGGTTAGGGCCGGGCTTCTCTGGGCTAAGGATCAAGGTCCTTGCCTGGGTTAGGCCCCCACGCATTCCAGTCTTCCCTGACTCTGAAGAGGGCGCAGTAGAGCAGTAGCGGAGCACGAGAACCCGCGCCACCTCCGCGGAGGTGGGACCTATTGTGTCTCCGCCTTGGGCGTGTCACCTGAATTTAGAGTCACGCCCTCAACGTCCAAGCCTCTCCACAGCAATCTTTCCGGGCGGAAGTGTAGAAGCCCCGAGAGGGACTCGGCGGAAGTGGCTGCCTTACTGCAAGTCGGTGCGCATGCGTCATTCTGCCCCGGTGGAGCTCTTCAGCCTGAACATTTTTCCTGTCTCCTTTTCTCCACGCGAGGGGGTGCGCGAACCCCCAGTCGTGGCTGTGTGGTCAGCACTTCTTCTGGTCTCTTGGCCCCCTCACGATGGCGGGCATCCTGTTTGAGGATATTTTCGATGTGAAAGACATTGACCCGGAGGGTAAAAAGTTTGACCGAGGTAAGTTAAGGTACGCACGAGCGGTACAAAAGAAGAGGCCTGTCTCATTGCCACGCCCCTGGGCCCCCTCTCCACCCTGCTCACGTGGCCAGCCTCTAGCTACAGATTCTGATGAAGCGACGTCCCTCAGGAAACATTTTATGAATGAGAAACTTGAGACTCTGAACTTTCCCTGGCTTCACCCATGCAGTGCCTGCTGCCTGGGTGGCTTTCAGCCATGATGCTGACAAACTCCTGGGCATCTTTATAATCGCTACCTATTCTCTGTGTTAGAGATTATACTGTGCTCCCCTCTCACACACTTTGGCTTGTTCATTCGCAAAAGCCCCCATGAAGTAGGAGGTGTTTTTGCATTTTGTTCTGACAGGTTAAGTAACCCACCCAAGACCACAGAGTGAGTTATTTGACTTGTATTCTTATATTGGCCCCATAATCTTTAGCTGTTTGTGAAGTCCTCTCTGAGTTAGAGCTAATTGCTTGGCATACAACTCTTTATTCTGCAATCCATCGACAATTTTTTCTCCTTGGTGATACTTTATTTGCCTACAGACTGAGATATTTATCAAGTTCTTATACATCCTGTTAATCCTCTCAACATAATGTATAGCACAGAAAGAGAAAACCTTTGGATAAGTAATAACTTGCCCAGAGTCATGTTCTCAATCATTCAGGGGGCCTAGAGCCTAGATACTTGCTGCCAGAGGATCTTTGATTCTTTCTGGGGTTTCTGTTCTATTGCCATAGTTTTTGCCCTTTTTCTTCTTGCACAGGTTCTGATTGAACCTGCACTTCCTTGAATGCAGTGAAGAGGTTAATGGATGTATACCAGGTTACATTAAAATTCTTTTGCAATTAACCACCAAACTGGGATCTGTATGTTCTGCCCTGGGCTTGATAAAGTATGCCTGTCACTTACTTTGTTTTTCCCCAGTATCTCGACTGCATTGTGAGAGTGAATCTTTCAAGATGGACCTCATTTTAGATGTAAACATTCAAATTTACCCTGTAGACTTGGGTAAGTATTGAACACACACAATAGCAAGAGTTTTTTTCCCTTCTTAATTTCATCTATTCTTCATCCTCAGATATTGCATTTTTATTTCTAGGTGACAAGTTCCGATTGGTTATAGCTAGTACCTTGTATGAAGATGGTACCCTGGATGATGGTGAATACAACCCCACAGATGACAGGCCTTCCAGGTGAGGGAGTAGAGAAAGGAGCACTTTAAATATTGAAATATGCCCTGAGGACTAAGTGGTATAGAACCACCTCTGCAAGTGGGGGTTGAACTGGACCTTGGCCTCATACCTGGTAGGCAAGTACTCTATATCACTGAGCTCCATCACTAGCCTTTTTTAGTTTATTTTGAGACAGGATCTTGCTGAGTTGCCCAGGCTGGTTTCAAACTTGCAAACCTTCTGTCTCAGCTCCCCTGAGTAGCTGGGATTACAGGTATGTACTATTGTGTCTGATTTAGAAAGACCTTTATTTAGACCCTGGAATAAATGATTGTCATCAGAATCTGAGTAACCTTAAGGAAATTGCTGCACTTAAGAATTCAAACAACCACGACTGGGGTTGTGGCTCAGTGAAGAGCATTTGCCTAGCACGTATGAGGCCCTGGGTTTCATCTTCAGCACCACATAAAAATAAATAAATAAAAATAAAGGTATTGTGTCCAACTACAACTAAAAACCAGATATTAAAAAAAGAAAAAAAGAATTCAAACAACTATCTGGGTGTGGTGGCTCACGCCAATAATCTCAGCTGCTCGGGAGGCAGATGGAGGAGAATCACATGTTCAAAGCCAGTCTCAGCAACTTAGAGAGCCCCTAAGTAACTTAGTGGGGGATGTGGCTCAGTGGCTAAGCGCCCCTGGGTTCAATACCTAGTACCAAAAAAAAAAAAAAAGAATTCAAACAACCAGGTGTTTACTGAGAGCAATGATACCATGGATATCATGCTTGTGAGGTGTAGCTTTTTGAAGGTGGAGGAAATGACCATTGAGTGACCTAGGCTATGTGGGAGGAGTTTGGTGTGATAGAGAGGCATTGGAGCACCACTGAGTTTAGTTCTTAGCTTTAGTACTTATTTGTTGAATACCCTAATCTCTTTTATTCTTAGTTTCCTCATCAGTAAAATAGAGATGTCATACTTGGTTCAAAGTATTATGGTGGGGAAGGACTAAATGACATCATATTTCTAAGGTGGCCCTTGTTATAATGCTGGCACTTAATTACCAGTTACCATTTTATTCTTATTTTTAATGTTTTTGTGATGGTGTCTCACTGTGTTCTCCAGGCTGGCCTCATGCTTCTGAGGTTCAAGTGATCCTCCTGTCTCCGCCTCCCAGTTAGCTAGGACTACAGGTGTAGCCATTATACCTGGCTATTAGTTACCATTTTAAAAGGATTTTTTTTTTTTTTTTTTTTTTGGTACCTGGGATTGAATTCAGGGATGTTAACCACTGAGCCACATCCCTGGCCCCTTTTTATATTTTATTTTGAGACAGGGTCTTGACAGGGTCTCGCTAAATTGCTTAGGGCCTCACTAAGTTGTTGTGGCTGTCTTGAGATCCTCCTACCTCAGCCTCCCAAGCCATGGAATTGCAGGTGTGTGCCACTGTGCCCAGCTGAAAAGGATTGTTTGTAATTATTATGAAGAATAACTTTGTCACTATTGTTCTGCAGGGCTGACCAGTTTGAGTATGTAATGTATGGGAAGGTGTACAGGATTGAGGGGGATGAAACGTCTACTGAAGCAGCAACACGCCTGTAAGTTCCGCAGTCTGGTGAGAATCCTTTTCCTTTCTCCCTGGCTAAGAAGTTGGGCCATGCTCTTGCTTCCTGTGTTGGGCCCCTCTCCTCAAATGCCTCAAACTTAGTTAGAACTTAAGTAGTAGCTGTTCCTGGTACAGTTTCCAGTCTGAAGTATTGGCTGCCCACTTTGCCCTTTGTCAGGATCTCAAGGCCCAGTGGTTCCAAAACTTAATCCTGCTGTGTGAAGTGCCAAGAAGAGTGGCTTCCCCAGGAACAACATGCAGCGTTA